AAAAGTCTGAATGAAGAAGAGAAGGCCAGGGGGAAATCTTTGGGAAAGAACATTCTAGCCAGAGGGAACAGCAGTACAAAGATTCTGAGGCTAGAAGGGGCTGCCATCAGTCTGAGGACAAGAAAGATTTATTGTTGGTTGTTAGTGAGGGAGGAGATTGGGGACAGTTGGGAACTAGACTGTAGGAAGGGCCAGACCATGTAAGGCCTTGCAGGCCATGATGAACATATGGGATTTTAACCAAATTTCAATGGGAAAGCTTTGAAAAAATTTAACTGGAGAAGTGATATGTGGCTTATGCTTTGAAATGATCACTGTGCTTTCTGTACGGCAAGAGAATTTATAAGATGGCAGAAGTGTCAGTGGGGAGAACAGCAGAGAGGGTGGTCCACAACAGTTAGAATGAAGCTCCGAGATATTCCAATTTTCACTTAGTCCTCAGTTTCCTCAAACTCTACTTTATTGATCATGTATTTTATTCTGAGATGAGAGATGTGACTGAAAAGGCCACACAGCAAAGGGACCCATAAGAAGTAGAGAATTCATTCATGCTCCACTACCACCCACAAAGGAAAAAGAGTATGGTAGTATTCTGAAGTTCGCCTTGCCTTTGGTTTACAGTAACTTGGATTATTCATATAGGAAAGTTTCAGGATTTTCAGCAGACCTACCCTGAGCCACAAGGAAGAGGGTTGGGAGTGTTACCCTTGCTAGACTGTGGTTCACCAATCTTTTCCCATCTCTACCACTGCTCACAACCATTGTGAACCACCTCTGTCTCTCTTCCATTTAAGAACTAAGTCAAAATTTGATATCTAAAACCCATAAATAGGAAAATATATGGCAGATGCTAAATCTATAAATTCTATAAATCAGGCAGCTGTGTTGCTCTATTTAAATGATTAGAAGCACGGCCTTCGCAATCAGACAAAATTAGGTTTAATTCCAATTTAATGCCACTTAATGAGTGACTTAGGCATAGTTCTAAACTTTGTTTAGTAAAACCAGTGACAACAATACCTATGCTTCATTGAGGGTTTAAATGAGTTGATGCCTGTAAATCACTTAGCACAATGCCTGATACATCATAAGCACTCCAAATTGGTAGTTATTATTATTACTTATTGTGATAACTAGTAAGTCTGTTACCGTTACAAAGGTAAAAATAGTTTTTAAAAGACCAAGTCTACTTACCTTTAAACGACATGAAACTGTGAACCACTACGAGTTAAAATTACTATACTCTATGTATTCTAAGATAATTTCAAAATTTTTCCCATAATAAAATTATTTTAAAACAAATTTTAATAATTATAAAATCTTTAGTGAATTTTTCATTTTGGAATTCAGAAAGTATAAATAAGTCTCTTAGCAAACTACTTGTAATTATGGATTATTATGGAGTATTGGGTTGGATATTTTTAATAGTCCCAAAATGAAAATCACACTCATGTGGTTCAATATGAAAATGATTACATATACTATGTTATAGCTATCTGATGGAATATTAGGTACACTAAAAAATTTACAGGGAATTTTAATGTCAATGGGAAATGTTACATTGCAAGTGAAAAAGTAGGATGTAAAATACCATATACATTGTTACTTTGAGAACATAAGAACGTCTAGAAAAAAGGGTGAAATAAAATATGTCAAAAAATTAATGATTGATTTGGAATAGTGGAAGTAAACATGATTTTTTTCTGTTTATTCTTTTCTCTACTTTTTATCTTTTATAATGTACAGATTCTTTTGTGAGAATGATTAGAAATTAAGGTTAACATGTAACAAAACATAGCAAGCTGGGTGTCAAAATGTAACGGAGACAATTTGTTAGAACACGCTGGTCCTTACATAGACACTTGAGAAGTTTGTTGAGAGAGAATGATTACCTAGAAACAAGGTCACATTAAATGGAGTAAAAACGACAACGTATCTTCAGATATTACCCTATTTACCAAAGTCTGTGATAGGTATAGTTCTGTACCACATAACGAAGTTTCGGTCAATGATGGACCGCATATACGACGGTGGTCCCATAAGATTAGTACCATACAGCCTAGGTGTTTAGTAGGCTGTACCACCTAGGTTTGTGTAAGTACGCTCCATGATGTTTGCACAACGATGAAATCACCTAACGACACATTTCTCAGAATATATCCCCATTGTTAGGCAGATAGATGAATGCATATTGGATACATATCAAGAACTTTGTGAGGGTCTTCACCTCTATCAATCCACAATGTAACACTGATTTGATACTTTGGTATAACAATTTAACAAAAAAATTGAAAAGTTCATCCAAGTGAACAGAAAATAGAAAAAAGATTGTAAATATGTCTGCTTTCCTAGGGATGGATTTCTTACTAGAATCTCTTTATCCTCTTTAGTCATTGCTATATAAAAACAAACACACAAGGACTTCTGTAGTAGGGAGCCCATCTGTTCCAATACAGTCAATGCCCCTCTCTTTAATAAACCATCAGTTAACTGTTGTCAATTAACCACCCTGCACTTGCTACCATCTGCAGGGGAGAGTTCCTGAGTCTGGGAAGGAGATATCTGTACTGCTGTGCCTCATACAGAGAGCAGACCATATGTCTTCTAAAAGGGAGGTAAATCTCTTTTAAATATTCATTATCGATACCACTACTAGCTAGCACACTCAGCCTTCCAAAGCTCTAAAGGGAAAGTCAGAGGAGAATTAAATATACATAATGCAAGCAACTTGGCCTATAAGCATTCAGTATGTCATTATCCTTCAATGGAACTGTTCTGATAGAAATTTTTATGGTTAATATGCCTTAGGATCTAGTATTTCTCATTTCAAAGAGTAACCCTTTTTTTTTTTCTTCAACCTATTATGTAAAACCACAGTGTTTTTAACTGATTTAATGAAATTGAATTCTTTACTTTAATTCTTAAGAGGAGAAAACTTAATAGGAATTTTTAAGAAGTCTCATCTTTGAAGGAAATCTTTGTTAAGATGGCATAAAAGTAGAGGCCTAGTCTGTAGTAATACTGATGATCATGACTTGTGTTATTACATACACCCCACCAGTCAAGTCAACTTCTTTAGGAATACTAACCACTGCTATTTTAGCTAAAATTTGACTTTTTCATTAAAGTGATATTTAACATTTCATAAAGCTTAAATGCAAACAAAAAGGATTAATCACATTCATAAATACACAAACTTATATTCAAACCCCAATATTAAAAAGGTATATTACACGAGACAAAATGGCAAAGCCATAATTTTTTAATTGCCAAGAATTTTATGTAGCAAGTTTGTTTATTCAGTAATAAAATAGGAATAGGAATATTACATTGGCAAAAGTGGAATTAAAGAGCATAAAATATTATTTTAAAAAAGGCAAACAGTAGGATCACTTTCAAGAGCCTCATAGAAAGCTTTTATTTTACAATGCTACTTTTTCACAATTAATACCTGGCTTTTTTACGATAAAAAACAATCATGGTACCTGAGTATTATATACATTCAATTGCATATGACAGATACGATTATAAAGATGTACTTTCCCAATTACTTAAGAAATTGTTTTCAGCTCATTCAATGCTTTGTCTAAATAGCTTTAAGACACACAAAAAGCAAACAATTACATATACATATATAAAGTTTTTAGTAATCAATTATCCAAATACATATTTACTCATTAGACTACTAACTGCTTAATATGTAAAACTAGCTGGAAATCATAACTCTTGATTAAATATAAACACCAACATCTCTCATGAGATTTCTCAACTTCAAAAATGGCTTTAAAAAATTAGCCTGGGGGTGAATCGCCAATATACTCAGAAACATAGCCAAAACAAAGAGTTTGAATTCAAAGACTGTATTCAGAATTTGAACAAACTATTTTTGTACATTAATAAATTGGTTCTTTGTTCAAAATTTCAAACATAAATGATACTAACAATACGCATGCATGCATGAAATCCAATAAAAATGGCACTTGAGGGAAATTATTGCTTAACCAAAAGGAAAAATATCACTGTTAGATTCCCGCCTGGGGGTTACATTGTGGTCTCACGTTAAAAAGTAGGTTTTTGGATTCCCTAGCCTTTGGTGACACTTTGGAACCTTTTGTGTTTTCCCTGTAGATATTTCAGACAAACTCTAAAACTTGAGAGGACACTTAACAAAACTCCCACTTGGATGGCAAAATATATTAATTCTAATATATAAATAGAGCTAATCTGATTCCTTTATTGGGTAAGCACTACATTACAAATTATCCAACTCAAATTAAACTCTGTGGCAAAAAATTCATTTTCTCATTAGGCAATCGATGTTACCTTCCATAATGCAATTCCCACTTAGCTCTTGGCCACAGCTGTTGTCTTTAAAACAAAGTTCTAAATCTGTAGATCATGCCAAAGGGTATGATCTCCTTAGCAGGTGGCTAAGAAAATCCATAATAGGTATGTATGATAAAGAGAATATGAATTTTTAAGAAGTCTCCTGTAATGAACAGAGCTCTCCCTTCTAATCCGCCCACAGTCAGTGATCCAAGAAACTGAAATGTAAATAGAAAAAAAATGCATCTGTGAAGTTATAGGTATAAAATTCTGCAACGTTCCTCAGACTCTTGATTCTTATTTCCAGAAATAGGAAGAGATTAGAGACAATAGAATATTACTTTATTTCTTTAGAGGGCAGTAGATTAAAAAGTGTTTACAGTTGTTAAGCTCTATAATTTATAGTGTTAATAATGCTCATCAGTATTGAGAACATTTCACACATTTGGATATGCAAATTAAACTGGGAAATGCATAAAAACATATTTATCCCCAGAAAACCAATCAGTACACACAATATAACATAAAAGTAAAGGAATATTACTTGATATACACATGTGACTAAAAGCATTTTAATAAGAAAATCTATCATTTTTATAAAAAAGCTTTCCATTTTAAACATCACTACTCAACAACGACATTTAAAATACTACCAATAAATGTCTGTACAATTTCAAGTAAGAGCCACCGCATTTTCCCTGTTGGGGAGATTTGCTTTCAGTCATCTTTTTTGTCTGAGGTACTCTCTTCGTGATTTTCAGGACTGACTTTATTACTTGTGAGTGAGGGAGTTGCCTGGATTTCTTTCGGTAATGAAAACACGTGGCCTGTCTGGAGGTCTAAGTATGTTGTAAATATTTTAGCATATTCTGGATGCTTTAGGGCAAAACTTTTAAATTCCTCTAGAAAAGAAGAAAAAACAAAATCCAATAAATTGAGGTGAAGCTTCTTTTGGCATGATGCACACTAACATGTGACTTTAATAATACACTATTGCAAAATTCCATTACTCAACCCTCTAAAAACTGTACAACTATTTCAGAAGATAGCTTTTCCATGATTTAGTCAAGTTGAAGATATGCATACACTGTGACTCATTAGTTCTATTCCAAAGTATATTACCTAGAGAAATTTGTGCATATTGCATTCTGGGAGACATGTACGAGAATGTTCATAGCCACATTATTCATAAGAGGTGAAAAATGGAAACAACTCAAATGTTTGTCAACAGTAGAAGCAGATAAAGAAATTGTGGCATATTCATGGCACATTAATGTTATACAGCAATGAAAATGAATGAACAGGTGTGTTGTAATAGCATGGATGAATCTTAAAGCCATTGGAATGAGAAAAGCCAGATACAAAAGAACACATACTGTATGAGTTCACTATATAATGTTCAAAATCTTAGGCAAAACTAAAACACACTATTTAAAGATACGTACTTCTATGGTAAAACGCTAAAATAAAGCAAGGCTCAGATTCCTCTTTAAGTCAGGTCAGTAAAGCTCTATTTCTTGATCTCAATAGTAGTTATAAGAGTGTACACTTTATAAAACTTCATTATGCTCTATGTTTACCTTTCATTCAGTTTTCTGTATTTTTGTTATTTTTTGTAATAAAAGTTAAAAACAATTCTATTACTCAGGAATTTCTACAACGGGCTTTTAAAACTATTTTAATCTTTAACTCTGGTATAGAAATATACAGTCTTGAAAAGCAGAGCCCCGACTTATGATCAATAATGGCAAATAGCGTGTCCACTACATAATAATCACGGCGTGAGACCTTTGTGTAGCAGACCTCTTCTTATCTCGAGTGTCTTAGATTTAGAAACTGAAGTAGAGCTATACAAGGCTTACTACATTAACTACCAGAATTTGAACCTCAAGCTTCCAATAACCGGGGGTTTCTGAAATATGCTATCCTCAGTTTTGCAATTTCTCTATCCTCTTCTGTTTGGATGAAGAAAATTTTATTGACCCTATAGAGCAAAGGGAGCCTGGTCTTTGGAATCAGCTTGCTATTTGGCTCTATAATAAAAGTATTTTAACCCAACGTCCTATTTATATCTATTTTTTTTTAATCCCCTGATAACCAAGAGTCTACTTCATGGCACATTACACCACCTAACAATTCTTGAAGATAAAAATAGGTCTTAGTGATGAGAAAGTCACCAGACTGAGCCCGAGTCATTCTTTGCAACTGCAACATTATTTTGCATTAATAGACCACTTTATACTTCCAAATCAGGTAAGCTATTAATTGTTCTTTCTTAACATCCAAAATAAAGGTTCATCTGCAGGAGTCTATTTCAATGATGAGGACACAGGGGACATAAGTGACTTCTAAGATGAGTGAGCATGAGAGTTGATCTACTGAAATCAAGAGCTTTAACTTCAAGACTTGTGTTCTGTTCAAAAGATCAAGGTCTCTGTTCTCTTTGGGGATGGCAGTGGCATTAAAGAACAACTCATTTCTAGAAGAAGTGCTGTGAACTGGCGATAAATGGAATTTGGGCATTAATTTGGCTAATGGAAAACCAAGAATGAAAACAATTTAAATGATCATATTTAAACAATTTAAATGGTCACATTCATGATACATTTCAATACCTATTCTTTGATAAAATCATGCTTAAATACCTCAAACATTCCTGCAAAAAAAAAAGTACTTGCATAATATTGGGGAAAGGAAGATATTCTGTGTATTCTGAAAAGAAAAAGATTGAACTCCAAAACCAAAGCATATTTCCCTAAAAAATTATTAAAATCGAAATTCAATTACTTAATAATTTGATTAATTTGAGTAATTTGATTAATAGTCATAAAATTATGACTACCTACAAATAAATTTTGGGATTAGCTTCCATTGAAATAGCTATTCCAAGTAGCTTTCCAAAATCTGGTAATTCAGAGTAACAGAGTCTTACTTATGAAAGAAAAATGGTCAGAGAATTATTAGTTCACATGGGGTTTATGACTCATAAATTTTATCTCAGGAAATACTTCCTCATTTTATACTTTCTTGCTTTTTTTTTTTTTGTAATGCACTTAGAGTATAAGTGCCCTAGGCACGTAATTACCTGAAATAGAATAAAGGGCAGCCAAAATGACAGTAATTAAAAACAGAGAGTAATGTGATCTAATTCCCCTGTCCCATGAAAGTTAACAAGCTGAAACTCTTTGAACACCATAAGGAAAAAGGCATTCATGAGGAATCCCTCTCCAGCCTGAGGGAAAAGACTGGGGAAGATAAGCCGACTTTACATCTAGGACCACATCAAAGCCAAGGCTGGGAAACAATCACCTAGGCCTCTTGGCTGCTGCCGTGTGTGGTGTGTTTCTCAACGACTGCACTGTGAAATATGTGAAACTGATGTACCATCCTTCCGCCTGACAGAGCTTATTGTGATGTGTGGACTCGAGCCATCAGGGGAAAGGTCGGTCACTGACGGATGGACCTGCCACTTGGCCACAAGGTCTTCCTCCATGATAGTCCCTACCTTTACCTCACCGGGTGCCAACAACATGACGAGATAATGAATGTGAATGCTTACCTAAGCACTAACAGTGAACATCAACAGAAGGTCTAGCTACTGTTATGCTTGTTGGTACCTCAGTCCATATCCCTCTACTGTGGTTACAACCCAGTTTGGTTAACTTGCTCCGTTTTGCTTGGCCACACTGGCAGCAGAAAGGAAAAGCCCCTCCAGGAGAGGCAGGTCAATGGTGTGGGCTCTCAAGCTGGGCTGTCTGGGTGTTTGAATCCTGGCTCTGCCGTTCTCTAGTTGGATGATCTTAGGTAAGTTACTGAAATTCTTTGCATCTCAGTAAAGTAAGAATAACGAAGAGTATTGATTAAATAGGCTTGTTGTAAAGATTAAATGAGTGAATAAATATAAAATATTTAGAAGAGTGCTCAGCATATGTAAGCCCTCAATAATTAGCTACTACGATTACACCATTATTGCTATTATTACTATCATCATTATTGCTATTATGTCTATTGTTCATATAATTAGTGGAGGGAAGGAAACAGCATTCCCATATGAGGGTCAGTCCAGATTTCGGATGCCCTCCTTGTAAACTAAATCAGGGGCCAAACTGCCTACTTACCATAGGACACAGAATCCCCCTGGGCTATTTCCTTGAAGAGACCAGAAACATCAAGATCAGGCACTCCAAGGGAAGCCTGCAGAATGGTGGAAAACTCTTCCTCGGTTATGTAGCCATCCTCGTCAAGGTCAAAGAGCTGAAGGAAAAAGAAAATAAAACGTAAGAATTAGCTCCCTCAGGAAAATAGTGGCGTGGAATAATCTTGGAAAATAAGCTCTTTAATAATTCAAACATTTATTGTGCCAGGGATTAGGGATATGTATATGAAGAAAGTATGGTCTCTCCTGTCCTCGCAACACTTATAGTTGAGTGGTGGAAAGATATAGAATTAAAATAGGGGCTACAACAATAGGAAGTACAAAGAGACAGGGGAGTCCTGTGGAGAACAAGAAGAGAGAGAGGTCAGGGAAAGCTTTACAGAGGAGTTGCCTTTTGAGTTGGGTCTTAGAACATGAAGAGATAGTCCCAGATCATACAAGGACTAGCAAGTGATTGCTGGGGGCTCGAGTCAGGACTGAAGGACAAGCAGAGATCCAATCATGATGGATATATAATGCCTCACCTAACCCTGCAGGAGTATGATGGGAGGGGATGTGGTGTGATCATAAGTGAATTGACGGAGCTCTCTGAGGCAGAGTGTGGAGGATGGATTGAGAGCAGAAGGTTGAAAACACTAGAGGCAGGAAAAACAATTAAGAGACAGAGGTGGAGAAGCAGGAAGGACAGGAAGGGACAGAATTTATAAGGAAGCAAAGATAAGACTTGCATATCAATTAGAAGTCTGCAGTGATGGAAAGGAAGGAGCCAAGGACAGCTGAAGTTCCAGCTTGGGCAACTCGGTGAAAGTGGTTACATCACCAAGAGTGGGAACACAGGTGCCCAATGAGATCAAGAGCTGGACCTGGAGAGGTTAAATTTGAGTCAGAGGTGCCAGGAAGAAGTAAGTGATTCTGGGCCAGCCCCGTGGCTTAGCGGTTAAGTGCGCGCACTCCACTGCTGGCGGCCCGGGTTCGGATCCCGGGCGCGCACTGACGCACCGCTTCTCCGGCCATGCTGAGGCCGCGTCCCACATACAGCAACTAGAAGGATGTGCAACTGTGACATACAACTATCTACTGGGGCTTTGGGGGAAAATAAATAAACAAAATTAACAACAACAAAAAAGAAGTAAGCGATTCAGCATATCAGCTCGGGAGAATGATGAGGCTTGAGATAGGAATTCAGGTAAGAACTGGAACTACAGGTGTATTGAAGCTTATCTGCAGAGAACATACCAAGTAAGCCAAAGCCCTGAGAACAGCAAGAGTTGAGGTGTGTGTAGGGAAGAGGAACCTGCAAAAAGGACTCAGAAGAAGCAGTGAGAGATGGAGAACCAGAAAAGAAGAGCATGCATTTTGGAAGCTAAGGGAGGGCTTTCAAGAAAGGGGAAGAGACTTTGACAGTGGTTATGGCCAACAGAGTAAAATGCCATAGAGAGGCCAGCCAAGAAGCAAAGAGGTTTGCTGGGTTTGGCAATTAGGAGATCCTGATGACATAATGACGTAAAGACAGTTTCCAGGAACTGGAAGCCAGACGGTAACGGGAATCAAGGAATGAACAGAGGTGAGAAGTGGGGGCAACAAGGATGGACTTCCCTTTAAGAAATTATGTAGCAAAGGAAAGGAGATAAATGGGGCAATAATGAAGCACAAAAGGAGGTTGTCCTTAGAAAGGGAAAGACAGAATATGTTTATAGGCGGAGAGGAAAAGGCAGTAGGGTGAGAGAGATTGAAAGTCAAGCAGCAAAACAGGGGGAACAGTTAGATAATTAAAACCCCATATTTAAAATCCTCTCCTGGTTATTAAAAATTTTTAAGGATATAGCACTGACTGGGCAGGCACTGATGAAAAGAGTTCAAATCACTTCACACATATTAACTCATTCGACCCTTACATCGTCTTAGGTAAGGTAGGTGCCACTATTAGCCCTATCTTACAGATAAGAAGACACGCACAAGGAAGTCAAGCAACTTTCCCAAGGTCGCTTGTACTTGTAAGAGGGAGAGCCGGCATCAAAATCCAGGCAGCTAATATCTAGAGGTCCTACTGTTAAGATACCTACTTCTGACCAAATACATGATCAAAACCAGGAAAAAAAACAGGCATTAGATAAGGTGTGATCATCGTGAAAAGAGCAACAAGGAAATATTGAACAGTATTTTAACTGTCCATGAGGGTTGGGAGGAGAAAAACATAGTATTTTGAAGCTGTGATTAACACCCCCAGCTGAAGAAGCACTGCTTCTAACCCATTTTCTACCACTCAGCCCCAAAGTGGAGGTAAGAGAGTTGGAAAGTGAAAAGTGAGCTGGCATTTATTTTCACAGCCTGCAGCCCCAGGGCTCTTGATGGGCCTTGGACTTCAAACTAACAGCCAGGATTCAGTCACACCCCGCTCCTCACCAGCTCTAAGCTCTCCTTAAAGGTTTCCACTCCTCAACAAGTCTCACCGACTCATCCAACAGTCTAAATTCTTGCCACATTGGGTGCTTTGGTGGGTCTCACTTCTGTGTAAGTTCCCTTCACACGTCCATACTGGAGACTTTTACTTCCTCTCCTGTCCATTGTCACGACTACTCCAGATCGCTCCCCTCACTAAAACTCTCAATTTCCCTCAGTTACACATCATCCCCAATAATCTCCCAGCTACACAGTTCTTGGATCTAAGGTAAATCTCATGATCTGGGCTCTGGTAGAACGTTTAACACCCTAGTTTCCTTTGAGAACGGGGGAATGACATCTCCCCATTGCAGAGAATACTGCGGGACTCTTAATCAAAACATTCTGTCTTTCCTGGCGAGCACATGGCCCAAGACCATTTGGACCCTGCCTGGAACATGAAGGATGAACGGAGCTGGCGTTTGCTCAATCTTGTTGCAGTGCCCAAGGGAGAGTGTAGAGTAGTTCCTGCAGCTGGGGCCTTTGCAGCTGCCTGGTTTTGAGTCTTCCCTTGAGCCTCCTCCCCAGTCTTCCAACGAATTCCTCAGCCAGAATCTCTGCCTTCAACTATGGCTTACAACCGCTGCAGTTTATTGCTTACAACTGAAGCATTCTCACATTCTACCTCCAAAGGTCCCTGTGACGATGAAATGAGATCAAAGATGGGAAGTTGTGTGAAGTGCTACCCAAATAAAAGGATGTGAATGGATCCTATATAAAAGGATACTACCTCATGAAAAATAAAGGTATGCCAACATATTTTCAAAAAACCTAAAACATACCTAAGAAGGAAGTTGAAAAAATAACCATTGTAAAGCATGACCCCTGCCTTACAGAAAAAAGAGTTAATTATATATTTAAGTCCTCCTTTCCTCCTTCCCCCAGCCCCAAACCAAGGTCTAGGCTAGATAAAAATCTCACGACTCCTTTAAAAACAATAATTACTGTGAGTAAGGGCCGAATTTTCTATCAGGTCTTTCATTGGTAAACCAAAAGTGACCATTTGCCCAACTAAACTTGTAATTACACATACAATCCCAAAACAGAAACAGAAATATATCGGGATTGGAATAAGTTAGCTATGTGTATAATTTTAGGTTTTAGGATGAATAAGTCTGTAAAAGCCAAATGTTTTAAACTTGGAAAAAGTTCTGGCCCTTGCCTTATGACCATCTGCTAAGCATCAACCACTTGGGTTCTTTATAGGCCTAGCAGTTAACTCAGTTTAAAACAATCTGAAATAAAAAGTAAACGGGGACTCCTCTGTCAATGATAGAACACATGAAAATTCCTGAGGCTATCCCTGGTGTCCTCTAAGACTTGAGAAAGAACTCTTGGAGGAAGAGAGTCTTTGTAGATAATAGAAGGGAAAAAAAAAACAAAAAAAATAACGACTTGTTGGAGTCACAGTGGGATATTCTTCTCAGAGACAATCAGGAAGAGATAACAGCAAGAAAGAGGAATAGAGAATAGAGAAGATCTGCAGCTGTCACGGTGGACGGAAGCAAAGAGACCAGCAAGGGGTTGAACAATAAGTCACTACACACAGCTTGGTAAGACAAGTAGGGAGACCAACTTGTTGTTTTACTTGAGAGCAGACCATATAAGCTTAGAACTCCAAGGGGACATGCCCCTTAAATACTAATTAGATGAAGTGCCTTCCATCTCAGAAGAACTGAAAACATAATTTGGGAATGTATTCTTCCCTCTCTTTTTGGGCATGTAATTGATAAATGGAGTCTGAGCCCTCACAATTCAAATCTCCATCAAGTTCTGCTGGGGACTCTTATTCATCTGCCTCCTCAATATTGCAGTGAAAATAAGTGTGATACTGCAGGAAAACATACAGTGTGGAAACTTGGGACATTTATGATGATGCCCACCTGACACCACCACAACAAAATAAATTCCATCAGGAAAATACCACTTAAAATAACTCTGACATACAGAGCGAGAAAATAAGGATAGATCAGAACTTTCCACATGGTGAATTAGGATGATTAGTGACAGGTGGTGTTTATTTATAACCCTCACTTAGGGGCTTCAAAATGGAGAGGCTGAAAAGAAATAATTTTTTAAACTAATTTGTCAAATCACCTGCTCTTCAATATTGACATTGTTAACTCAGCTGCTTCCAAAGACGTTTTTGCTTAAACTGATGCTGTGTTTTCTTCATTCTCAGTAGCAATTGTCTTAATCACATTACCCTCGTGTACATGTCACAGCAGATCTATAAGCTCATGTAACAGATTCACTGATCTTCAAATAATACACTTAGAGTCGACACTTGTTTATGAGACAGACGAAGATGCTTTCAGTGGGGCTGACAGTACCTTAAATGCCACTTGGATGATCTCCTCTGTGTTGGCAGGGTTGCACAAGACAGCCAGGCCAATCACATACTCTCGGAAGTCGATACTGCCATCATGGTTCTGTGAAAGGAGGGGGGAAATCAATTAGCAGGACCACTAGTTGAATTACTATTAATCACGGCCCACAAGGTGAAATGCAGTTCTACAAAACAGGTCAACATCATTGTGCACTGAGCCTATGTGGAAAAAATTTCGCACTGAGATGGAACAGCAAGCCAACGGCCCACCCATTCTCAATTCAGAAGGAAGAAAACTCTATTTCTGTTTAGCAATAAATATAAACATTTTATCATTGAGGCTCATTTGGAGTGGCTCTGTGGCACCCAGCATGGGTTCTTGAGCTCAGCCTTGATGGCAGCCCCTCTGGGGAGGCAGGATCTAGGACTTTCATCCTAGGTAGGAATAAAGCACTCATTCTCCCATTGATTCTCCCATTGCCATGATGGCCAACACCAATGGGTCCCTAAACAACCCTCTACGTGTAGAAAAGGGAAGGGAAAGGAAAAGGGCAAATTGAGGCACTAACTGTAGCTAACATTATTTCTTCCTTCCAGGCTTAATCTGCAATACACCAGGAGTAACTAAGCAAACCTGAGTAACTTCAATGCCCCTTGGTGATATCAGGCCTCAGAAGATCGGGTACTTCTAAGCCTCTGGAAACTACACCTAACTAGTGTGATGGTAATATCTATACACCTCACGAGGTATTTCGTGATGGCAATATGAAAGAAGAGGTTGATAATTCTAACCCAGGCTGACTGAATGCAGAGTTTTTACTACACATTAACTACTCACCTAGACAGGAATTCATAGAGAGTTTGAAATGGAGAGAAAGAGAGAGCTTAAGGAAGAGGAAGAAAGGGAGAAAGAGGCACAGCAGAGCGGGAAGGAGGACTGAAGGAAGAGACAGAAGAGAGAGAAATAAAAGGAAGAAAGGAGGAGAAAGGAGAAAGGAAAACGAGATGGAGAGTGGAGGAGAAAGATGGAGAGGAGGAAAGACAGAAGGAGGAGGGAGAAAGGAAGGGTGTAAATAAACACAATGATTGTAATCCCACATGTTAGAATCATTTTGGCAGCAAAATCTTCAAGTCATGAATCCCTAGATAAACTATGAACTAGTAACAACAAAGCTATGAGTACTTGAAAGATTAACAAATAATGTCTGGCATCAATAAGAGTGTAATCTTGAACTGTGACTGAGTATCTACTTTTCAACCATCAAGTCTTCCTTTAGGGCAAGGATTGCTTGCTTTGTGCGGCAGTGGATACCCATTGCCCAGTTCACACAGGTGGGCACTAAAAACAATACCACCTTTTTTTCATTGACCCTTACCTACTACTCTGGGTTCATTTTAAATCACTAAGGCAAGTGTTCTGCCCTGGGGTTTCATGGAAAGCGGAGGCTGAACTGGTGTGCATTTTTTGTACGTACATTTTTCTAGGGAAATTTTTGTAGCTTTTTATCAGCTTCGCAAAGCAACCAAGACTCAACAGGTCAAGAATCACTTTCACCACACTACTTGATCTTACTGCAGGGTGGGAAGTAATAATGTATTTTCACTTTCGCACCGGAGAAGATAGAAACAGGGAGGTTTCAAGATTTCCCTAAAGTAACAGGGTTTATTCCTGAGACAAAACTCAGGTCATCCAACTTCCATTTTTGTCTGGTTACCAGCCTCTAAGAGAGCTATTTTCTTCAACCCATTTTATTGATGTATCATTTACATTCAATAAAAAGCATCCGTTTTGAGTGTACAGTTTGATGCATTTTGACAACTGTATACACCACCACAATCAATACTGATGACATTTTCATCACCCCAGAAGCTTCAGAGAAGGTAGAGTTTCAAGGGACATAACTTCCTTCTTGTGCCACCATTTAATTTTCTTCTGCATTTTAGAGGGTTGTTTTCCATTAGCGTTAGAGGTGGAGCAGATTATTGAACCATGGGTATAGGTATTGCTCAACACTGGTAAATTTCTTCTGCAACTGGTTTTCTCCACGAAGCAACATAGAAGTCTTGAGTAGAAGTTCTTAAGAATACATATAAGATTGATCTGTGGGCACTGAAGATACAATCATAGATTGTATGATTAGACATACTCCTTTGAAGTTATGTTGTATCTTTATTGAGGCATCCAATTTTTATCCATAGGACCAAACCCTGTGTATAACACAGATCAAACATAACTCATTTTTCAGATGGAGAAAAAGAAATGTCAAGGATCCTTGATATTACCACTAGTCACAAAACAAGGTAATATTCTGGACCTCTGATCTTCATTAACAGTCACTTGTGAGTGGTTTTAACTGACAAAAGAATGTGAAAGCAGAGCCTTGATAATCATTCACATGAGAAATTATAAGTAAATTTTCATCCTAGTAATGTGAAATAAAAGGAAAAGCATGAAAATTATTCTGAGAGATTTTGTTATTGGATTAATAAAATAATACATTGTTAAGTTTCCAAATTCAGAATAATAAAATCGATAACTGGAAAGAATCTTAGAAATCATCTTTTCAACTTCTTCATTTTCACTAATAAAAAAAATGAGACATAAGTTTTACTTGAGGTCACAAAACTCACTACTGCCACAACTACAGTTAAAATTTAGGTAATCTGACTCCCAGTCATTCAAATTAAAACAAGTAGCTTGATAAAATATATTCAAAAAAAGTACTAAGAAAGTATACAGCAAAATACACTTTTTTAATTTTTCAATTTCATATCAGCTCCATGATAAAAATTATTCCTCAGATCTGTGATTCTTTCCTTAAAAACCCATTGAACTCTTCCGGAAGAATTATGAACTTAAAAAGAAAAATATTGAGACTTGCAAATATTTCAGGACCACATCTCAAAGGAGGAGACCAGCTTTCTGGAAGGAACCTCTAATTCCTTCCATAATCTGTCCTAATCTGGAGGCCAGGACAGCCCAGAGTTGGAACCAAGGAGTTGCATTGAGTCACTGCAAAAAGAGGAGGTAACGAAGCCTCGCTGAAACTCTAGCTGTGGGCCCCACCCCTGCCCTGGCCGTCAGCAGGATCAGAAAAGCATGGAAGTGAGGGCTGGGGTCACTGTGGGACCACGTCACCCCAACGTCTTTCCATCCCACAGTCATACCACACCGCCTTCCAGGACCAGCAGGAAGTTCCAGGCCCCTTGTTCACACATGGACCATTTGAAATTCCAGGAGGAATAAATGGTGATTTTCACGTGTCTGATTCTCAGGTATCAGTTCCCTAAGGTTTTTCATAGTTGAATTTATTCAACGTTTTCATTCCTATGGAATCAGATACTTTTTACAACTTTTAAGTCTAGCAACATTTAAGGAAATGGTTTCTAATACATTTCGAGATGGGAAACTCCCAAGGATAGGGGCTATTTTCTCTTTGTTGTGTTATAATTGATATATCCTTGCAAATGAGAGATAATCAATGCCACCAAAATAATTTCAAAGTGAAACAGAACCTACTATGCTGCAGCCAACAGAAAAAGGCTTTGAGTCTTTGAAGAAACTCTACAAATCCAAAGGATTATTATTATTCAAATTCCGTTTACCTGAATGTTCTTATTAAGAGCAAATTTCTACCCACATACGTAATTATATTACTAATTTTCTATGAACTAAATTGTTTTAATCCACTTGGCACTAAAACTAAATATTTTTAAAAAGCAATTCTGAAAGCTTTTCAAGATCAATAGGCACTTACATATCAGGACCCTGGAGGTGCCTCCACAAATATTTTTTAAGGCCTCACTATGGGTTAGTTGTGCAATACTACTGATGAAATTTCTGACTGCGGTTGCTATATAAATCAGCTTTTGAAAACAGATGCACTACTGCTCAAAAAATATTTAAAAAGTGACCTTTAAGATGATATATACATTTTGAATGTTCTTGGATGTTTGTTTTTCTTAGGTTCAGAGCATATAGTTCTTTTTCCTCCTGTTACAGTTTATAGAATTCAATGGATTATATCAAGTTAAAGGTGTTTTTCAAAATCATATGGGATATTTTGAATTTAAAAATGTAGATGGTACAATTTTACATTTTTTAAAAATCATTGAGTATTATTTTCAACTTACTACATTGATTGTATTGCTTAATGATAGAAATTTAAAATTAATGGGATGGAGTTACATGAATCAAAGACCTTCATCTTAGACTATAAGTAATTTTCCAAAGAGAAATGGCAAAATTTTTTTAAAAATTTCAGGTAAATACTCCCTCTTATATTGAAAATGTGCCTTTAAAACATCAACTATTGGAATGAAAACTAAGAAATTCAATCATTCATCTGGCTATTGGTTCTATACAATGTCAAAGATTTGGGTACTTGAAAAAATCCAGAGTTTGGACTGAATTTTCTGGTATCCACTCTAGTGACTAGGGTAATTTGTACAAATTTTATATATATTCAGAAAAGAAATTTAGGTAACTTCAGGATGTCTTGCCCTGTGCATGCAGGAAGAGAATCATAAAAGTAGGTAATCCCTTAACTTGAGGAGCAAGAGAAATACTTAATACCACCGCTAGTGTGAGGTAATTGTCTTAACTTTTATAAAACATCTAAAATGAAGTAAGGAAAAAAGAACAGGGCTACATTGTCCTTTCCACAACCACCATGTGGAAAGGTTAAATTATAAACTTAATATTCTGAGACCTTAAAAGGCGTCTTGGCAGCTTTCCCCTTTCTCGGCCACATTCCTACACCCATGCCTAACATATTAGTGGGCTTATTCTAAAACGGGGATCCTGATATTAATGTGTGGTTGCTGGCAGCAGCCTCCTTCTTATATAACCATACCTGGTGTAAGCAGCATACCAGAACAAGCTTAAATTACAAGTCCCTTGAGGATGTGATCTTTGTGCCGGGCTCAGTGCAGAATTTTATGCACGTGGTGCTTCATAAATATTATATGGTGGTGACAATGGTGAATACAGAGGTCAAATGCCAACCCCTCTTAATTTCACCAGGGATTTCTCCCAGGCAGCTGAGGGCTGTTAACAGGCCAGTTAGAACAGTTACGCTTTCCTCCAAATGAGTCAGAAGAGGAAGGAAGAATTTATCTTCACACTTAGGAGGATCCTCCAAGGTAGCCCGGGAGAGAGGGCATGCATTAAAAACCAGAAAAGCAGGAGGGGTAGAAATCAATTCAATAGCAGGCAGGTGAGCTGAGCACTTGGCAATGCAGCCTCTCTAGCTGAGGCTACTCGCACAGTGATTCTGGAGACTCCTTGCCCCGCTATAACCACCTCAATCAAAATGATAAAGCCAGACCAAGGACCATACAAGGCAGTTTCTCTGTATCCCTACCTTCCTTCTCCTGGACATTAGCAACACTGACTCCCCCACTAGGCCTCAGTTTCAGCTGAGACCGATCTGAAAAACACTGTGAGACAGTATTTACTTTAAAACAGTGGCTGTCAACCTTGGCTGCTCATTAGAACCACCTGAGGAGGTTTAAAAATTCTCGTCTCTGGGCCCACCTCCCAAGGTTCTTATTGAACTCATTTGCAGTGAGATCAGGCATCAGTGTTCCTAGAGTGCTCTCCCAGTGATTCTCCATGGCAGATAGGGCTGAGGACCACTGCAAAAAAGAGTCAGCTATTTATATATCTGTATGTTGCCTTATATACCAAATAACTGATTACAATTTATGGAAGTTTTTCCTTTTTTTTCTGTTTACTTTTCTCCTGCCTGAGTTTTCAAAGAGGAACAAAAGAAGATTCCTTGCTCTGTGGCAGGGTAAGACATGACAAGAGCTGGCTAACATCAGCTAGGCATGCCTGATTTTGTATGAAATACATGTAAGAGTGATCATTCTGATTTGTGAAAGCAGCCAGAGACATTTGGGACTAGGGGTACACCCTTTCATTCCCTAATGCCCTGACCTTTTTCATGAATATATCAAAACAAAACAAAATTGCTACATACTTATTTCACTAGAGAAACAGGACTAAAGAATCTGAGAATTTTAGATAGTTGCTCCACCATTAAAAAAAAAAATACTACCCTTAGAAGAAATTGCTTAATTTCACATTTCTGAACCTCTTTCTATACAGTTAAATACATTTCCAGGAAAGCATTTTTTATTTTTTTACATAACGGAAAGGCCAGATGTGAAATTAAGAGAAAAACAGATTTTAAACTTCCCTCCTCCTCACTTTTTTTAAGGGAAAAATATATTTCCTGAGTGCTTTGTTGATTTATTCCAGAATTTTTTCATAATCTCATTCTTAACAACAACAACAAATCTCCTGCTCCTTGGAATTCCTTCACCAAATAAGCAATGACCTATTAAAATCTACTCCATGAGAGCTCCTCCCTGCATCCCCCAACACACATATAAGTCCATATAAATCCAGTATCTTAAAAAGCTAATATACAAACCACGCAGAATATTTTTCATGAAAAATCTGTTTTAATAAGCAGTAAAGGGCAGCGCAAGTTCAGAAATATGTAGGGTTGCGAAAGAGCTCACTAGGAGATGACAGCTGTTGGACGGGGTACCAGCAATCATGCAGACAGTGTGGCTAGGCTCTCAGCAGTCCTGTCCTCCAGGGAGGGGCCTGACGTCCGCCCACTTCAGGAATACATGGTCAGCTCCAGCCATTCCTGGATAGACACTTCAATCAGGCCATTGGCGTTTCTATCCAGAGATTTGAAGGCACGGAACATGGCATCTAGGCGGACCAAACAGCTGATGAAGTTGTTAAAATCCATGCTTCCATCCTCATCGGCATAGCGGCGGACGATCATTTGGTAGAGTTGCTCATTTAGCTGGAAACCTGCTGCCTGCAGAGCCCCCTGCAGCTGGGAACTTCCCAGAAACCCGGAATGGTCCCAGTCATGCTGCTTATAAACACACTGCCATTTCTTGATGTTGTTCCAGAGGTACTTAAATTCTTCAAAGCCCAGCTTCCCAGTCGTGTCACTGTCCATAACAGATACAATGCTCCGGCAGGTGTCAAGACTAAAGCCGTCAGTCTTCAGATCCTTGTGCTTAGCAAGGACTTTGTTGAGAATATTCATTAGGTCGGTGGCACCCACCTCCATGTCCGGTCCAGCCAGCTGTGCAAATTGTTGCCGAAACCGCCTAACTTCCTCACTTTCATTGGCCTCCACGGTGGTGAAATGCTGCTGAGTGGGCGGCGGTTCCGGGGTATACTGAGCTGCCGCAGCCTCACTGATAAAATTCACAATTCCTCCAACTATCCCTCCAACATTTCCTCCTCCTCTTTTCTGACCACCTCCTGCAAGAAGGCCTCCAAGAGCTTCTCCAAGACCTGCATTTGCTCCTTCCAATAAAGCCTTTGCAAGAAACATGCTGTTGGTTTAACAAGCACGTATAAAAGCTGCTGAAATCTTGGAGATGGTACGAAGAGCACTGAAATGGAGTCTAAGTAGCTTATATGTGGAAGAACTGGCTTTTCTGTACCTGTTTACACTGCACCACGCCCCATGGTGTGATGCCTCACCTCCTACTGAAGTTGCCTGAATTCCATCAGGTCCTAGCACCTGCCATTTTTTAGAGGGCCTCAATGAAATATTCAGAAGTTATAGTAAGTATGACAAATTAACTATACATTTCCATATGTCATGGATTTCTTAGTTCTTTCTCAGCTCCTGAAAGACGACATGCATTTTCCTCCTAGGAGAAGGTAAAGGACTCAAGTATATCAAGAATTTCTCTTCTAAGGAATATTTATTGTTAGGTTAGAATTGAAGAGTTCTTGGGCATTGGAAGGATATTTATGTAATCCCCCCCCTTTAGCAAAGATTCCCCAAATCCAATGTTCTTCACAAAAACTTGGAAGGGGGATTTTTAAAATGCGGGGTCCCCAGGTCCCATCCTCAGAGATTCTGATTCTGTAGTCTGCTGTGGGGATCATGATCTGCATTTTTGGAATCTTTTTTGAAGTGTAACATACATATGGAAAACTGTACAAATCACAAATGTGTAGCTCAAAGAATTTCACAACCTGTACACACCCATGTCATAAAACCCAGAGCAAGAAATAAAACCTCACCAGCACCCCAGAAGCTTCCTCCTGCCCCTTTCCTCTCCCAAGGGTAACCACTATCCTGACATCTAACACCATAGATCCATTTTTGTACCTTAAATAAATGGAATTATACAGTATATACTTTTTTGTGTCTGGTTTTTTAAACTTTTAGTTAATTTTTTTTAATTGTGGTAAAATACAACATAAAATTTACCATCTTAACCATCTTTAAGTGTACAGTTCAGTGGCATTAAGTACATTCACAGTGTTGTGCAACCATCACCATCATCCATCTCCAGAAATTTTTTCATCTTGCAAAGCTGAAACTCTGTGCCCATTAAACAATAACTCTCATTCCCTCCTCCCACTACGCCCTGGCGACCACCATTCTACTTTATGTCTGTACGAATTTGACTGCTCCACGTATCTCATGTAAGTGGAATCACACAGTATTTGTCTCTTTCTAACTGGCTTATTTCACTTAGCATAATGTCTTCAAGGTTCATCCATGTTGTAGCATATGTCAGAATTTCCTTTTTAAAGCTAAATAATATTTCATTGTATGTATATAACACATGTTGTTTATCCATTCACCCACTGGTGGACCCTTGGGTTGCTTCCATCTTTTGGCTTTTGTGAATAATGCTGCTATGAACATGGGTGTACAAGTAGTTCTTTAAGTCCCCTCTTTCAGTTGTTTTGGACATATACCCAGAAGTGAAATTGCTGGATCACATGGTAATTCTGTTTTTAATGAACCACCATACTGTTTTCCACATTGGCTATACTATTTTACGTTCCTACCAACAGTACACAAGGGTTCCAATTTCTCCACAGCCTAGCCAACACTTGTTATCTTCTGGGTTCTGGGTTTTTTTTTTTATAGTAGCCATCCTAATGGATGTGAAGTGATATCTTATTGTGGTTTTGATTTGCATTTCTATAACAATTAGTGATGTTGAACATCTTTTCATATACCTGTTGGTCATTTGTATGTCTTCTTTGGAGAAATGTCTGTTCAAGTCCTTTATCCATTTTTAATTCGGTTGTTTGTTTTTTGTTGTTACTGAGTTGTAGTTCTTTCTATACTCTGGATATTAATCTTATCAGGTATATGATTTGCAAATCTTTTCTTCCATGCCATGAGTTGCCTTTCCACTCTATTGGTAGCGTCTTTTGATGCACAAAAGTTTTTAATTTTGATGTAATCTAATTTATCTAATTTTTCTTTTATTAATTGTGCTTTTGGTGTCATATCCAAATCAATGAGAAATCCGATGTCACAAAGATTTCCCCCTATGTTTTTGTCTAAGACAAAACACAGCAATTTTAGCTCTTTTTAGTAATAGTTTTACCTCTTATATTTAGGTCTTTGATCCATTTTGAGTTAGTTTTTATATATGGCATAAGGTAAGGGTCCATTTCATTCTTTTGCATGTGGTTATCCAGTTTCCCAGCATAATTTGTTGAAAAGACCGATCTTTCCCTATTGAACGGTCTTGGGACCCTTGTTGAAAATCATTTGAATGCACACCCACACGAGGGTTTATTTCTGGGCTCTCTATTCTATTGCACTGGTTTTTGTGTCTGTCTTTATGCTAGTACCACACTGTTTGGATTATTGTAGCTTTGTAGTAAGTTTTGAAACCAGGAAGTGTTATACTTCCAACTTTGTTCTTTTGCAAGATGGTTTTAGCTATTCAGGGTCCCTTGAGATTCCATATGAATTTTAAGATGGATTTTCCTATTTCTGTAAAAATAATATTGTTGGGATTTTGATAGGGATTGCGTTGAATCTGTAGATGACTTTGGGTAATACCGACATCTTAACAATAGTAAGTCTTCCAACCCATGAACATGGGATATCTTTCCATTTATTTGTGTCTTCTTTAATTTCTTTCAGCAATACTTAGTTTTCAGTGTACAAGTCTTCCACCTCCTTGATTAAGTTTATTCCTAAGTATTTTTTATTCTTTTTAATGCTATTGTAAATAGAATTTTCTTAATTTACTTTTCAGATTGTTTATTATTAGTGTATAGAAATACAACTAAGTTTTGTGTGTTGATTTGTATCCTGCAACTTTACTGAATTAGTTTATTAGTTCTAACAGGGGTGTGTGGGTGTGTGTGTGTAAAATCCACAGGTTCTTTTTTTTTTTTACATATAATGTCATGTCACCTGTAAGCAGAGATAATTTTACTTTTTCCTTTCTAACCTGCATTCCTTTTATTTATTTTCTTGCCTAACTGCTCTGGCTAGAAATTCCAGCACTATGTTGAACAAAAGTAGTGAAAGCAGACATCCTTCTCATGTTCCTAATCTTAGAGGAAAGGCTTTCAGTCTTTTACCATTGAGTATGATGTTGGCTGTAGGCTTTTCATATATGGCTTTTATTATGTTGAGGTACTTTCCTTCTATTCCTAGTTTGTTGAGCATTTTTATCTGAAAAGGTGTTGAATTTTGTCAAATGCTTTTTCTGCACCAATTGAGATGATCGTATGTTTTTTCCGATTTATTCTGTTAATGTAGTGTATTACATTGATTGATTTTCAAAGATTGAACCATCCTTGCATTTCAGGAATAAATCCCACTTAGTCATGATGTAAAATCCTCTTAATGTGCTGTTGAATTCTGTTTGCTAGTATTCTGTTCAGGATTTTTGCATCAATATTAATATGTGATATTGCTGCGTAGTTTTCTTTTCATGTAGTATCTTTTTCTGACTTTGGTATCAGGATAAGGCTGGCCTCACAGAATGAGTTAGGAAGTCTTCCCTCTTCTTCAGTTTTTAGGACACGTTTGAGAAGGGTTGGCGTTAATTCTTCTTTAAGTCTTTGGTAGATTTCACTAGTGAGCCATCTGATCCTAGGCTTTTCTTTAGGAATTTTTTCTTTAGGAATTTAGGAATTCCTAGGAGGTTGTTTTTTTTACTGACTCAATCTCCTTACTAGTTATAGGTCTGTTCAGATTATCTATTTCTTCATGATTCAATCTTGGTAGGTTGTGCATTTCTAGGAATTTGTCCATTTCATCTAGGTTATCCAATTTGTTGGCATACAGTTTCTCATAGTACACTCTTATAATACTTATTTCTATAAAATTGGTAGTACTGTTCTCTCACTTCTGATATGTGTATGGGTTTTTCGTTGTTGTTGTTCAAAATTACTTTTGTGAGATTTGATTTTATATTTTTAATAAGTATCTTCAGAAGTCAGTCTATGACAGATAGTCCCAGACAATACGTTGAGAAACCCTACCTTTGATACTAGGTAGAGTCAGGGTACAAGTCCTTCAGAGGTCTTTGGAAGTTCTATTGATGAACTTGGAAAGGTGGCCAGGACATAATAACTAAGTCATTATTTCACTTAGTAATTTGGGCCTCAATTTCAAATCTACAAAATGATGACAATAGTATCTCCCCTGCCTACTTTATAATGATTCAATCTCATTTATTATATATCATGACTTGGACTGAGTGTTTAGGATACAAAGATGACTATATCAGGATTATTGTGCTCAAGCATCAAGCAGACCCACAGAAAACTAGTTGTAATGATAGTCTGAACTCAGTGTTCACATTTCTACTATTAATACTAAACTATTACATTTGTATATAATATTCTTTGGAATTTAGGTTTCATAGAATTCCTCTGAAAGACACAAAGGTATTCGAAATAAGGAAAGAAAAGCCAGAGAAGTTAAGCTATTTATTAAAGATCACATAGCTAATACATCGTACTGTACTATCAAACTACTGTGGGAGTCCAAAAGGGGAGCGACAAATTCTGCTGAGGCAAAGGAAAGGAGAACATTTACCTACAGAAGAGATAACGTGCAGGCCTGACTATAGGCTGAGTCAGAGTTCTCCCAGATAACAAAGGACATGAAGGGACGGTATAGTAAAAAGATAGAGGAAGAGAAGGATGTGTGGTATTCAACAGATGGCGAATAGTCCAACGTGATAAGAGTCTATTGCTGAGAAGGACGGGAGATAAAGGCAGATGAATAGGATAGAATTGGATTGGAATGGGCTTTGACTGCCACATGGCAGAGTCTATCTCACAGGTTACTGTGGGAACCACTAAGGCTTGAACATGAAGTCAAAAGGAGATTAGAGGTGAGCTTCCTTTGTAAACTGCACAATTCTAGAATTGAATAATGATTATTCTAGCTATTATTAGGAAGAGAATAGTAGCTAGGGGACACTGCTCTGTTCAGGACATGAGAGCAATGTCTCCTTCTGCCACACCTACTGCTTTGTGTAAACATCGCCAATGACTGGTTTTATAGCACAACGACTCCAATAACTGTTATCATGGGCACAATAAAATGGACTCTGTGAACACCAAAGGCCACTGTCTTCCTCAACTACACAGAAGACGCACCACAGAAGGACCGTCTTCCTTTTAGAGGATCGCTGGGGGCCATCTGGCCTCAGATGGATTTAAATCCATTGATATAAGCCTCTCTCAGAGCAAATTACATGGGCTTTGTTTTTAAGATATTGCAAATTAACTTGGTAGCATCCATTGCCATATAAAATGTGGCTCCTTATGC